TATCTATTTATTTACTAATTAAATTCTATGTATCGAAATTAATGGCAGGGATTCAATACTTTTCGGGTTCTGCAACTGCGAATTCCAGATTTGAAGATCAGCAGAAATCATTTGATCATCTCTTAGCAAGACTAGTTAGAGGTAAGTCAAGTCATCATGCTTTTTATACGCTCGACTATATTTATAATTTACGCCACAATTTGATGCAAATATGCGAACAGGAGAAGATAGAAGAAAGCTTGAAGTTACTGGTTTTGCATGTGATACTGCTGTTCATTCTGTTGTGTGTGTTGCAAATCAACCTGTAAGAATCGAGACCAGCACAATGAAAGTTTATATTCCCTCTAATCGAACTTTGCAACAAGAAACTGTGGTTTATCCACATGCAAGACAAGAGGACAAGAATTTTGTTAAGACTCTTACACCAGTTCGTTTGATCTATGGAAACATTACACCGCCGGCTTGCGATTATACACACGATGTTCCTGCTGTGATCTTCTCATCCAAAGGAATGGGAAATGTTTTCCACGAATTCAACGAAATCGTCATCCCTTTGTTCGTCACTACGAGGCAATTCGAATCCCGGGTTTTTTTCATTCTTGAGGATTTTAAACCGTCATTTATGAACAAATATGGCAAGGTTGTGTCTCACTTGTCTAATTATGAAGTGATGAATCCAGCTGCAAATAGAAGTGTGCATTGCTTTCCAGGATTTGTAGTTGGGCTAAAATATCATAACAATCTAGCTTTGAATTTCAGTGATATCCCGGGAGGGTATTCGATGCGTGATTTCAGACATTTTCTCAGAGAAGCATATAATCTGAAGTTCTTGCACGTGTCTGAAATAAAAAGGCCAAGGTTAATCCTTTTGTCTCGTCGAAATACGAGAAGATTTCTCAATGAAGACGAGATGGTTGCGATGATGAAAGAATTGGGATTTCAAGTTATTGTTGTTTCAAGATCAAAGATTATATCGGATTTGAACAAATTTGCAAATATGATCAATTCTTGTAGTGTATTGGTGGGAGCACATGGGGCTGGCCTTACGAACGAAATGTTCTTGCCAGCCGGAGCAGTTATGGTGCAAGTAGAATTACTCGGCCTTGGATGGGCAGCCGACACCTATTATGGCGATCCGGCTCGTGCCATGGATGTGCATTACTTGAAGTACAAGATTGAACCGGAGGAGAGTTCGCTCTTGAAATTGTATGGACGGAATCATTCAGTCATTACTGATCCGGGATATCTCTTTGACAAGGGCGGGTACCGGGCTGCAAGGCAGGTTTATCTCGATATGCAGAATGTAAGGATCAATCTTTCAAGGTTTAGGGAGACAATGGTTGAAGCACTTAGTCTTGTTGCAGACTTGGACTCATAGTGAAAAGCAATTTTTGTTCGTCGTGGAAGTAAATTTTTGAGGTAACAGATCGACAATGACAATATGTATATAAGATTGCACTTTTTATAGATTTTTTTTAAAGTTTCGATTTTTGAAATGTGCTAAGAAAAAAAAGGGATTGTTTAATTTCTTCGAATTTCTACTTAAGTTCTTCGAATTTCTAGTAATTCAACTTGAAATTTTTACTTCATCATCACTGTCAATTATGTTGAGATCTAAATATATAGTTTGTGACTGTTAGTATCATTTAAGTCCTTGCAACCAACATATCCTGTAGCCAAAATGTCAATAGTTGATTTTTAACCTATGAGAAGATGGGTATTTTCGAAATTAAACAAATAAAAATTTTTCTAGATAAAGAAACATTATTTTAAAGTTGGAATCCTGAATTGCAGTCAAGTGTGAAGAAAATATTCAGGCCTCGGGGATAAGGGAAGATCCTTCCAACAAGGGATCTCCTGAATTTCATGTTATTAAAAAATATATGAAGAGAATTGGAAATCTTATATGTATCAATTCATGGTTCAATATGCATATAATTAAAAGAGTTTAGATTTTAGTCAAGGAGATTCATCGTGGTATAAATTTAAATCGTTACCTATTTAAAAGAATTGTATATATTATGTACTTATGCTTCAAGACCTGGCTCGACCAATTAGGATCTAATCAACATAGACTTCCACCTTAGCATGTTCACTAACATTTATTTCGAAGTCTAACTAATCTATATAATCTCAAAATGGAGGAGATAAGTCAAAAGGTAAACATGAAACGAATCAAAACCGATTGTTTACATCGACTCATTTCTCATTTTACTGACTGAAGTATAATAGAATCATCGACCACGCGAGAAAAAAAGGAGGCATAAAATCGATCTGGTCAAACTGGTCTGGGAAACCATAGCAGAAGCCAGAAGATGCAATTCTATGGGGGTACTCCACTCTCGTCTCTATGATTAAAACAATAAGAATTACAATTTACATCATTTAATGACCCTAAAGAGTTCGATGGTTGAAGATGCTAACCATTTAATTTTTTCTAGATTTCACCCCCAAAATATAAACAAAAGTTGAGTCAAAATAACAGCTTCAAAACAGTTATCAAAGTTGCAGAGTTAAATATTTATATTTCTCCTCAATCTCGCCTCCCTGTACAATATGCAAGATCTTGGAGTACCATTAGCATCATTTCCTAGAAATTGACTTCTTAATTTCTTAATTGGACCCTATATAAATATGCACTATTGTATACTAAATTGGGTTACAAAATTCATAGTTTCGAAAAAAGAAATTGCGTCTATAATAACAACTCAAGCATACATGCAAGAGCCACAAAATAAAGATATGTATTTTTATTTGAGATGTCTAGGCATATAGTTCAAACTTCAAAGAATCTGTTTGACAAGAGTTTTGAAAAGTTAGAAGCTACTTTTAAAATTAACAAGTGATTTTTGGACAAGTTCGAATACTTTTCTATAGTACTTCGTTTGCTATAAGAAGTACGATCCTATCAAACGGGTCCAATGGTAGACTATAAAGTAATATGAGAAAGGAAAATCTGCAGCATCGATCCCAACCTATGGGCTTATAGTAATTTCAGCCTCACCCCAAATTTCATTGAGAATAAAAATACTCTGTTTTAAAACAAGTTGCTACAAGTGGTAGATTGAGGACCGATGATGCAATCTTCCCTATAATTCGGCCATATGCAAGGCAAGAAGATTATAATCTTCTCAAAAATGTCACATCGGTAAAGATACTACAGGGTAATACCACGATTCTACCGGCTTGCCAGTACATTCACGTCGTCCCTGTTGTAATATTCTCAACCAGTGACTTCGTAGGAAATGTGTTCCATGAATTATCGCACGTGCAATTTATTCTAGAGGATTACGAGGCCTCATTTGTTAGGAAATATAGCAAGCCTATGTCTTTATTGTCTGCTTACGAGGTGATTAATCCGGCTGCAAATCAAAGCGTTCATTGCTTTCCAGGAGCAATAATTGGGCTTAAGTTTCATGGCCATTTGTCTTTGAATTTCAGTGACAGCCCCGGAGGGCATTCGATGCAGGATTTCAAGCAATTTCTTAGACAGGCATATAATCTCAAGTTTGCGCACGTCTCTGAAATCAGAAGGCCAAATTTAAAACCAGAAGATTCCTAGATGAAGATGAAATGGTTTCCCCGATGGAAGAATTAGGCTTTCGAGTAACTAATTTTGCAAGAAATAACGTGATATCAAACTTAAACAAATTTGCTTCGTGTAATAAACTCGTGCAGAGTCTTCGGGGGAGCTCATGAAGCTGGCTTTACAAATGAATTGTTCTTGCCTGCTGGTGCAGTTCTGGTGCAGATAGAAATAATCGGACTGGAATGGGCTGGAACGACGTATTATGGAGAGCTAACTTTTGAAAGTTTTCGGACGAAATCATACAGTGTTTAAGGACCTCAAATCCTTCAACTTTGCAGTAGGCAGGGAGATGTATCTTAACCATCAGAATGTAAGGATCAATCTTGCGAGGTTTAGGAAGACAATGGTTGAAGCACTTAGTATTTTTGAAAGCTCAAATGTTTAATTTTGAGAATTCATTTACATATGGAACAATAGGAATTAGAGAATTCATGTTCACTACTACTTTTTGATATCACGTTAACTATTTCATTTAAAAGTTTAAGTCAAAATGAAAATCACAGTCTCATATCAAGAAAAATCTCTATAAATCTTGCATGTTTTTAAGTGTTTACTTTACGTTCTACGAATTGATCGATCTCGGTGGAATATATAATTAGTGTTAATTCTCAGCAGAACTTTCATAATGTCACTTCAGTCTCCAAACCTTTTTTTTTTAGCATAGATGGTCATCGAACTCAGAAGATTATTTCAATCAAGTTGATGAGTATATGTTAGTAATAGTTCATTTAATGAATTTGGTGATATGTCTGCCAACGTGATTTATATGGCAAATACAGCAATAACTAAGAGTTAAAAGGCTCAAACAAGTGCTCCAAAATCATAATCTTCTGTAAAATTTGTGTTATCAATGTTATTAATTTCATACGATCAAGACATTTAATCACATGGGTGGATCTAGAAATTTTTTTTAGGACGGGCTAATACACCAAAATAATAATAATAATAATAATAATAATAATAATTTAAAAAAATTAAAAATTCACACATGAAAAATTATGAACAGCCCATCCCCCCAAACCGGCCAATGTTTAACCACATAAGCAACATTATTAGAAGCGTCATTAAACTATTAAATTTATGGAGTGTGCTATGTGTACATAAAAAATTGTACATAATGGTATCCTCACTCACATGGGTGGAGCCCACCTGAATATAAATATGCAAGTGGGCTCCACCTATGTGAGTTGGTGGACATCATTATATACAATTTTTTATGTACAACAAGAATTAATAGATATGTGATGAGTGGCTTAAGTGAAATAAATTTTTAAGTTTAGTGACCATCTATTAAGTTAAAAAAGGCTTGGTGACTAAAATGATACTTTTTTGAAAGTTTAATGAGCAATGGATTTTTTTCAACCCTAATCAAATAACGCATTGACTGCAAATTTTCCCAAATCGTCCCCGCCCCTTAAACCCAAAGCCCTAAAATCTGTCGTCTTTTAGGATTTAGAGAAAGAAAAAACGGTAGAAGATGAGTTTGGTGGCAGGATCCTACGAGCGATTCATATGGGGTTACAGGTTAAAACATCGCCAGAACTTCACCCTTTCTCCACTTTTTACCTTTCCTTCCCACCAATCCACCATCAAGGCCGTCGCAGTATTCGGTTCTGCAGCTGTCTCCGGTGGATATGATGACACCATCAAAATCTACGATCTCACGTCCTCCTCCGAGATCGGTTTCCTCCACCAGTCATCTGCCATCACCTCTCTCTCCTTCTTTGCACCTCCTTCACTCTCTTCCTTCCCTCGAAATCTCTTTGCCACTGATGCTGAAGGTTTTCTCTCAATTTACGATGCCGACCCCTTTGTCCACCTCAAAACCCTTAAAGTTCATAAGAAAGGAGTCAACTCCCTATCCGTCCACCCCTCTGGCCAGCTAGCATTGACGGTAGGCCACGATGAGTGCTTGGCCATGGTCAATTTGGTTAGGGGCAGACGCAGTTTCTACTGCAGGTTAAGCAAAGAGTCATCAATTGTACAATTCAATGAAACCGGTGAAAAATTCTTCATGGTAGCTGATGAGAAAATAAGTATTCACGAATCTGAGGATGCAAAATTAATTTTTGAGCTGGATAATCGGAAAAGAGTCCTTTGTGCAACCCCAGGCAGTGTATGGTTTTCATCTTTTTGTGTATATATTTTCTTTGATATTATTTACTCCATGCTTATTATAAACCCTTTTGGCAGAATGGGATTTTATTTACTGGAGGAGAGGATAGGAATGTGACGGCATGGGATGCAGCCAGTGGGAAAGTGGCATATAGCATTGAAGATGCTCATGCAGCCCGTGTCAAAGGCATTGTTGTATTATCTAAGAGTAGCGATTCAGGGGAGGAGGATCCATACATTGTGGCATCTGCATCGTCTGATGGGGTTATACGCATTTGGGATGTTCGGATGGCTAATAAGGAGAAGACGAATCCACTAGCTGAGGCTAATACCAAATCCAGGCTCACTTGTCTCGCAGGATCATCTATCAAATGTGAGTCTTGAATCAATTCTCAATTTAATGTTAGGTGGTATGAATTTATACAGTGTTAGGTTCCACTAATTAGGTTTAGTGAACTAAGAAGTGATAACCGCTCCCCACCCATCAGTGAATGCCTGTATGATGACTGTTATGGTGTTAGATTGATCAGATTAGGGTTGGCAATGGTTCGGTTATGGGTCGGTTCTGCGAAAATTATAACCGCACCATCAATTTTTTGATCATACCATAACCGCACCATAACCACGTAAATCGGTTCGGTTCTGTTCGTATCTCGGTTCAGCATGGTTCGATTTCGTTAATAACCACGAAAATAAATTATTTTTTATAGGTTCATCCGTCAAATAGATATAAAACAATTTATGAAAAAAGTCAATAAAAACAAAAACACAATATTCCAAACGAAAATGCAAACATTATCAAACAATATTCCAAACGAAAATACAAACATTATCCCAATTTTCAATTGCAAAATACAAATTTAACAAACAATATTATAAATATAACAATACTAAACTTGTCCTTCATTCTTAATTGTTGTGCATCGAAGTTACTTGATTCATTCTTCACCACAAGTCTTACTAGCATAGATCAGCACTCAAAGTTGATTCATATATAGTAAATAAGAAATGTAAGTAGAGAATACAACGATACTGCCTATTCAGAATGGTCTTAACTAAGATTTAAATATAAAAAAAAGTACCTCTTCGTCAACTTCCTACTCGCTAAACGTTGCACAAGCTCTAGAGTATGATGAAGAAGTAGAATTTTTTACACACAATAGAAAAAAAATTAACAATGAAAGGAGCCGTGTGTGAGTTTGTGGTTTGTGGAAAGTAGGTTTGCATTTATATACTGTCATAATAATGCTATTATTATGGGTTAATGGTAAGTGGGCTGGCCAGCTGAGTCAGATAGATGTAATGGGAGGATTTTGTTTTGGGCTAGATAGAAAAGTAGTGTAAAGCCCAATAATCAATTGAATTGTGTGTGTGTGTGTGTGTTTTTTTATCAGGTAATCGGTTCGGTTTCGGTTTCGGTTCAACGGCGTAAATACTATACCCGCACTGCCACAAACCGGTTTATTAAAATCAAAACCATATCCGCCCCATTGCACCATCAGTTTGGTTTATTTCGTCCCATTCGGTTCGATTAACTGCGATTTTCGATTTTGACGGTTCAAATTGACATCCCTAGATCAGATTAGTTAATTTGTCGAGTTATCTTCTAACCTTTGATATAACTCACACTCTTCTTTTTCTCATTTTCAGCTGTGAGACGACTGCGAGTTGAAAATTCTAATCCAGATGAAAATCAGGAGGCAGCCGCTATGGAATCATAATAGCTGTACTGTTCTGGGGATATTCATATATTATGGGTTTTTATCCTCTTCATTCCCTTTCCTCCCTCTCCCTTTAATCCCCATTTGTTTTGTTTTTACTGGACGAACAAATTTTGTTATGCATGTATTAGGGGTTTTTATCTATAACATTATTTTTGACACGTAACAGAGAGGATATATGATACAAGTATCTCCACAGTTGAAATTCAAAAAAAGAAAAATTATTTATTACCCTTTCTGTATTACAGTGTTAGTTGATATAAAATGCGTGAGACAGCACATTTTATTGCTGTGGAAGCAGCGGAAAAATTCGAGCATTTTTGAGATTGGCTTTGCCTGGTGATCCCTTATGGAAATTTTTTTGAGACCCATTTATCCAGATTGAAGCTAAGGAAGATTAGGCATTGACTTCTTAATCTATATATCTCATAGAAATATGACAACTTGAGGCTAAAGGATGATTGCTGTTCTTACAAAGAAATTGTCTATCTTGGTTATCGAATTCAAATCAGTCTGAGAAGGATTCTGAGTCAGCATTCTAAGGTTTAAGTTGAAGTATATAGTAATATATGTGTATTCCCAACCCATCTACTTGATATATGTTTGTCATAGATCAACCATTTGCTATACTGATATTAGTCAAAATGAGAAAAAAATAGTAGTTAACGGTATATTATAATTGCCAAGGTATTTTAAACTAAGACGAGACATTCCCCGCCTTGAGCACTGTTACAATTACTGTAGAAGTCATTGACAAAAGAAATATTGGTGCGCCACCAATGGATGAAAGTGATAAAAAACGATTTCCCTTTCATTTTTTCTTTGGATATTCCCTGGGTCCAAATATAGTTGATCCAATTCTCACATTGGTACTGCCCATTTCAATCTGCAATTATCAAAAGGATGTCATTCTTTCAAATATATATGTAGCACAAGGTGCCGAACTAGTAATTTAAGACTATTACGTCGTAAAATCAAGCAAAAAGTAGAAACTAGGCTCCAATGAAAATTAGTTGGTAATATACCGTTGTGGTCTTCTTAATTATGTTAACATAGTAAATTTGATAACCAGATCCTGGGCTTACCGCAAGTTCAAAATCGCCAGACATTCCCATTGATAACTCACATTGGGATTCTGCCATTCCAAGCACCTTGCATACCTTGGATCTACAGTCTAATAGAGTCTGTTGCATTAGAATGCAACAAAAAATGGATCAGAACCAATAATAATCAGTAAGCAAGGTCGCAGAAAATATAAAACCCTTCCAAGACAGCTGCTCATTGATAACACAAATTAATTGCATACTAGAGTAACAAATTCCTCCTTCTCCTTCTTCAGGTATAAGAGTTCTAAAGATGTAGAAAAAATAAAACGAATAGATTCATAAATCAAGGGCAATATTGTTCAACGATAAGAAAAGTAAGTATAACTTGAAGTCATAGTTAAATATTCATTTTAACCACACATTCATACCTACTACCCTTTACCCACTTAATATCCACACATTTCGTGGAACATGCACAAATATTATTTCTTCACAAAATTCAAGAAGCCTGGGGAGTCTTCTACTAGTGCGCATCAAGATAAAATCAATGCCCAACCAAATTCCCAGAACAAATGAGGAATATCACCTTGAAGTTTTCAGGAGTTGATGTGTAGTCAGGCATCCCTATTGTCATTAAACCAGAGAACTCGAGATTTGGGCAACCTAGCTTGACATGCTTTACAAGATCTACACAATCTGTAGGATTCACACCAGATTTTGCTGCAAATGATAAATCAATTTAGCTCCAAAGTTGGTCCCTATATCGGGTGAATAAAGAAGGCAACATTTTTTTGTAAACACTTGCTAGTCAAATCATATCATATACATACAAATGAACCTGGACTAAGGAATGTTAGGCGCAGTTGGAATCTGTTATAGTAACCAGGGAATGTTAAGCAATAACTACGGCTGCTAGTCAACGTTCTGAATAACTCAAACATTTTTACCTTATCTCTCAAGTCCACAAAACTCTCCCACACAGTTTTGCAATTGAACAAAAGAACATTCGTAATTTTATTACTCACATTCTTCTCCACTGGTATTAACTTGAACTGAGACCTTCAAAGGCTGCCTCCCGATGTTTGAAACTGCACGGTCCAGATGATTGGCAAGCTGTGGATCAGAGACGATGTAAGTACTGTCATTTTGAATGATGAACCAAGTTAAATCCCATTTTTATTTCAGTGTATTAATCTAGCAATCAAGGTCAAAATAGCTCATAATAGTAACTAGTAAGACGGAGACTACTAAAAGGCCACAGCATGAAAACATAAAACCAAACGACACAAAGGCATTTTATAATAATTATTCCTTCTCTTAAAAAAAAATCCAAATTACTTTGCTAAACAACAATTAACTAATTAACCTAAATTACAATATGCAAGGTTAAGTCGCGCTCAGGCCATAAAATATGTATAGGATTGTCTGAATTATTTTCATCTGGCAATCACACTAGCCCATTACCAAGCATTCATCAAAATAACTCAAATTATAACTCAAAATCCGGCATCATAAATCAGAAGCCACTGCCAGAAACTTTTAACCCTTTTACAATAACAGCGTGTTTGATACATAGTAGCACATAAGACTGAAAATTATGTCCATATTTAATAGTTTATATTGTCCAGGAAAATCCACTGAACCAATCAAGCTATAACAATGCAATATTACCTTCACATTGTCTACGCCTTCAACCATATCTAAATTTGGGACAGCAGCTGCACACGATTGAGAAAAAGAACATGTAACATAAATCTTCCAGGGATCATCTATTTTCCTTCTGTTGGGTAAATTAAGAAGCATTAAAGTGGAAATTAATTCATACTCAATAGAGTTTTCACTTTATTGCTCTGCAAATGCCCAATAAAATGCCAAGTAATGTCCTCCGGCAGCTGCAATTTTACAACAAAATACCTAATTTTAAACAAGAACAGAAAAAAGTAATCCCAATTAGGTTTCTAGAATTAGTGTGAACCTGAGGGGCTTTTTCAACAATTTCTTGGACATAATTTTCACCAAAGCACCGGTGACCTGCGTCATAGACTTGTTGGATGAGGGAGACGGGTTTGGTCTTGCCGACAGCCACCACCCTCACGTCACCGGAAGAACGGCCGGACCTCTCTGCCGCCTGCCGGACTCGGTGAAATACCGCCCGAAGCGCCGTTACAGCTGCCCCCTCCACTGCCGGGGCCGCCATTAATGATTTTTTTGGTTTTTATTTCACCTTTTGAGTTTTAGATTTTTTATTACAGATATGGCCATACCACACTTCAATCGCAGGGATCTTTCTGGTGAAATACAAACCTCGAAAAATATGAGGTCGAGAGTTGAATAGAAGTTAAAAAAATTTAATTAAGCCTTTGTTTGAGTCAGGTTATTTTTTTTTTTTTAAATATATTTTTAAATAATGAATTGATAAAATATACGTGATTAAAAAAGAAAAAAAATTTGAATTTACGTGTAATATTATTCTATTGAAAAATATATGATTGAAATAATATCAAATTACTGTTTAAAAATGTATTTTTTTCAAATAATTTAGATCAAATAGGGCCTAAAGTTGCTTTTATTTGAAATCTTGCCAACAAGCTCTTAACATGTGTCCGAGGAAGTTAAAAAAATTTAATTAAGCCTTTGTTTGAGTCAGGTTATTTTTTTTTTAAATATATTTTTAAATAATGAATTGATAAAATATACGTGATTAAAAAAGAAAAAAAATTTGAATTTACGTGTAATATTATTCTATTGAAAAATATATGATTGAAATAATATCAAATTACTGTTCAAAAATGTATTTTTTTTCAAATAATTTAGATCAAATAGGGCCTAAAGTTGCTTTTATTTGAAATCTTGCCAACAAGCTCTTAACATGTGTCCGAACCCATTATCATTTCAAAAATCATATTTTAATTTTAGAGGAAATTACACTGTTCCCGATGTTTTAACTTTACAGTGCAAAAATCTGGTATGAACTTTTGTTATTCACAAATCTGGGATGAATATGATAATTAAATATCTCCCCCAATTCCAACCCTAACCATTTCAATTCTCCCCCTCTCTCTCCATCTTCATTTCCAGATACCAATGCTTATATATGTTATGACATAGAAAGTGGCACCAGAACAACCATCCGGTGACGGCACTAACCACAACCATCCGACGACAACATCACCATTATTGTCGATGCTTTGAGATCGGCGTTGCTCGACGACTGATTTTGGAGATTTATTTTGAGAGATTTTGAGGCAGTGGCAGTGGCTTGTTGGATCTGGTGGTGTGTTCAGATCTGGATGATGGTGGTGGTGATATTTGTGTGGTTTGCAGCGGTGGTCGTGTTGTCGGTGGAGATGTTGATTTGTTGTTGTTGGTGTTTTTCGTGGTGGTGGTCAGGGTGATTTTCCATCAAACTGGGTATTTGTTAGTGTGTGTGGTGGTTCCTAGTGACGGAGGTGGTGGTTATTGGTTGTGGTTGCCTTGATTTTTGTTTTTGTTGGTGTTGGTGTTGGCATCGATAACGGGGTGAGTGTGGTTGCAAGTGCCCGTGACGTCAATGACTGTGCGATAGTGGTAGTGGTGATAGTCTGTGACCACTATTTGAGGTGAGAGTGGTGGCAAGTGGCCGTGATGGCAGTGGCAGGGCGATAGTGTTAGTGACGGTGGTCTGTGACCACTATTTGACTTATGTGACCATCTATGACCAAATATTTAACTATCATTAATAAATTTGAAAATATGTGACCTATAAGTTTTTAGATCTGTGACCACCGAAATAAATTATGAAATATAAATTTTTAAATCTGTGACAATCGAAATAATCTGTGACTAATTAATTGAATGATATGTGACTAATAAATAAATTATGACCTAAAATTTTGTATCTGTGACTATTAGTTCTATAACTGTGACCTTATTATATTTAATTAATAAAGTATTTTTAATTAATAAATAAATATCTGATTTTTGCACTTTTAAACTTAGAACTTGAAAATTGAATTGGTGTAAATAATACACCGTCTGTGACAATCGAAATAATCTGTGACTAATTAATTGAATGATATGTGACTAATAAATAAATTATGACCTAAAATTTTGTATCTGTGACTATTAGTTCTATAACTGTGACCTTATTATATTTAATTAATAAAGTATTTTTAATTAATAAATAAATATCTGATTTTTGCACTTTTAAACTTAGAACTTGAAAATTGAATTGGTGTAAATAATACACCTGAGTTATGAATTTTTCCCATAATTTTATTCTTCAAAAATTAACAGTCTATTTGAGCCCATTTTATGATAAGAATACATTTTTGAAATGGTAGATTGTAAAAAACGCGTAATTGAAAAATAAGAAAAAAAATTGATTTGTATGTAATGTTATTTTATTGAAAAATATGTAATTAAAAAAAAGAAAAATATATTTTAAAAATAATAGGGGATCACACAAGGACTGAGTATATACTGAACCCCCTTTATTTTGTAACTCACTCCCAAGTCGAAATTCACACCCACAGAACCACAACTATCGCCTGCTACCATTGGTCGTCGCCACCATCACTTCAACCATTACTGCTATGGTTTGCAATGCGCCACGAGATGGCTCGCCACGTTTTGCCAAACGTGTGTTGATGCAAGGAGAAATTATGTGATCGTAAATTGTATGTTATCGTGATATTGACGTATATTAAATATCACATTAAGTGAGAATCAAGTTTTAGACGATTATAACTTTACTACAATTCAATTATTTTAATAATACTTTACTTTTCATTTTTCATATATAATAAATATTATAAATTTCTTGATCATGTATGAATTTTGTGTTATTAATTATTAATTAATTAAGATTTACATTAATCCAGACATAATTAATCATGATTTGATTAATCTTAATTTACATGAATATAGAGTTATAGGATGAATTTATTTCTATTCATATATCTATATATTTTAATGGTGTTTAAATTCATGTATTATCAATTAATTCATGTATTATTTCATCATAAATTTTTTTTTTGAATAATTGAAGTTAAGTTTTGAAAGTACAACTTTCATCTCTTAAATTTCTATTTTATATTTTACTTTCTTCCATATTCTATTTATGTCGCAACAGATCGAAATCAAGGCCTATTATATCAAATATTACTTTTACAACACTTATAAAGTATTCCAAAATTACATGTAACACACGTTCAACTTTGATTAGTTAATTAATAATTCACAAAATTGTTATAAATGTGACTACATGATTTTGGAAACTTTTTCATAATTTTTTTTTTTTTTAAGTGTATCTCGAAAACTTTATAATTTTGAATTTTGCCTTTTGTAGAATTAAGTACTTGTTAATTGTTAGAAATTGATTTTGAGCCTATTGGGCATGGTTTTTAAAAGGGTTTTTGAAATAAGAAGTTGCTTGAATAAATTTATAAAAGTGTTTATCTTATTAGAAGAACTTTTAGTGCAAACTAGTTTAATGTAATTTCCTCAGAAAACGTTTCTTGTAGAAAATAGAAATAATAACGTAATCCCTGCCAAACGAGTCCTTGTAATCAGTTTTCCTCCATACTCATTTTTAACCAAATATTCTTACAAAAAATAATTCTTTGACATTTTTTCATAACTTTTCCTCACTTTAAATCATATATTCTCCAAAAAAATAAAAATAAAAATCTTTTCAAATAATCTCTCCCAAACAAACACCAAAATATGTTTGTTGATCTTTCACATCTGTATAGACAGTCCACGGCCTCGCTCTCTTGTTTTATAAGTTTAACTAGGAGTAGGTGAAAAATTGATTAAGCTGAAATAAGCAATTATTTTTAGATAACTCAAACTCGTGACGTCAATGACTGTGCGATAGTGGTAGTGGTGATAGTCTGTGACCACTATTTGAGGTGAGAGTGGTGGCAAGTGGCCGTGATGGCAGTGGCAGTGCGATAGTGTTAGTAACGGTGGTCTGTGACCACTATTTGACTTATGTGACCAAATATTTAACTATCATTAACAAATTTGAAAATATGTGACCTATAAGTTTTTAGATCTGTGACCACCGAAATAAATTATGAAATATAAATTTTTAAATCTGTGACAATCGAAATAATCTGTGACTAATTAATTGAATGATATGTGACTAATAAATAAATTATGACCTAAAATTTTGTATCTGTGACTATTAGTTCTATAACTGTGACCTTATTATATTTAATTAATAAAGTATTTTTAATTAATAAATAAATATCTGATTTTTGCACTTTTAAACTTAGAACTTGAAAATTGAATTGGTGTAAATAATACACCGGAGTTATGAATTTTTCCCATAATTTTATTCTTCAAAAATTAACAGTCTATTTGAGCCCATTTTATGATAAGAATACATTTTTGAAATGGTAGATTGTAAAAAACGCGTAATTGAAAAATAAGAAAAAAAATTGATTTGTATGTAATGTTATTTTATTGAAAAATATGTAATTAAAAAAAAGAAAAATATATTTTAAAAATAATAGGGGATCACACAAGGACTGAGTATATACTGAACCCCCTTTATTTTGTAACTCACTCCCAAGTCGAAATTCACACCCACAGAACCACAACTATCGAATGCTACCATTGGTCGTCGCCACCATCACTTCAACCATTACTGCTATGGTTTGCAGTGCGCCACGAGATGGCTCGCCACGTTTTGCCAAACGTGTGTTGATGCAAGGAGAAATTATGTGATCGTAAATTGTATGTTATCGTGATATTGACGTATATTAAATATCACATTAAGTGAGAATCAAGTTTTAGACGATTATAACTTTACTACAATTCAATTATTTTAATAATACTTTACTTTTCATTTTTCATATATAATAAATATTATAAATTTCTTGATCATGTATGAATTTTGTGTTATTAATTATTAATTAATTAAGATTTACATTAATCCAGACATAATTAATCATGATTTGATTAATCTTAATTTACATGAATATAGAGTTATAGGATGAATTTATTTCTATTCATATATCTATATATTTTAATGGTGTTTAAATTCATGTATTATCAATTAATTCATGTATTATTTCATCATAAATTTTTTTTTTGAATAATTGAAGTTAAGTTTTGAAAGTACAACTTTCATCTCTTAAATTTCTATTTTATATTTTACTTTCTTCCATATTCTATTTATGTCGCAACAGATCGAAATCAAGGCCTATTATATCAAATATTACTTTTACAACACTTATAAAGTATTCCAAAATTACATGTAACACACGTTCAACTTTGATTAGTTAATTAATAATTCACAAAATTGTTATAAATGTGACTACATGATTTTGGAAACTTTTTCATAATTTTTTTTTTTTTTAAGTGTATCTCGAAAACTTTATAATTTTGAATTTTGCCTTTTGTAGAATTAAGTACTTGTTAATTGTTAGAAATTGATTTTGAGCCTATTGGGCATGGTTTTTAAAAGGGTTTTTGAAATAAGAAGTTGCTTGAATAAATTTATAAAAGTGTTTATCTTATTAGAAGAACTTTTAGTGCAAACTAGTTTAATGTAATTTCCTCAGAAAACGTTTCTTGTAGAAAATAGAAATAATAACGTAATCCCTGCCAAACGAGTCCTTGTAATCAGTTTTCCTCCATACTCATTTTTAACCAAATATTCTTACAAAAAATAATTCTTTGACATTTTTTCATAACTTTTCCTCACTTTAAATCATATATTCTCCAAAAAAATAAAAATAAAAATCTTTTCAAATAATCTCTCCCAAACAAACACCAAAATATGTTTGTTGATCTTTCACATCTGTATAGACAGTCCACGGCCTCGCTCTCTTGTTTTATAAGTTTAACTAGGAGTAGGTGAAAAATTGATTAAGCTGAAATAAGCAATTATTTTTAGATAACTCAAACTCCAAAAAATTCTTATATGAAGATCATATGTCTCAATTCATGTCCCTCGAGTTGATTTAAAACCCATATTGGGCATAGAAAAATTGACTTTGTGTAATTGACCCTATGATAACAAGGCAACACAGGAGAAATAAAATTATGAGTATGAAATATACTATTATTAAAAGTTATGTTTGATCAATTTATAAGTTTAAAAAGTTCGTCAAATAGGTCCTTAATATTCTTTGGCACATTTTTCCTCTTCTCTACTTCTAGAATCCACCATTAAGTAGCAAGGAAAGACTTCTTCATAGAAAATTATCACGACAGGAACTTTACGTGACATTATAGAATGCAGGTATGTATTTTAAAAATAACGTTATTTTTTAATGATTACAATTAACACCGACTAATCTATGACTTCTTCTTTTATAAATTCTCGTCTTGTCCTTTATCTCGACTATCGGGCAAATGTCATTTTTATCTCAATCCTACTTGTTAGAGCGAAAACACGGTCATATATATTGGTGTTTAAGCCAAGTTGATCAGATTGAAAGGGAAATTGTCAAAAATAATGGCTAAATGATTTTTATCTTCTAGTTAAAAATTGACTTTGGATGCCATATGGGCTAGTTTAATTGTCGTTTCTCCATGAGAATTTGATCAAATAATCAATGCAAGGTTACCCTTTTCCATCGGGCAAGAATATTTTAGCTGTTTGTTCGTTTTGTTTGGAAGAATTTTATTTATATATTTATTATTATTATTATTATTTATCATCTTGAGTTTACTGGAAGAAATTTATAATAGCTATATAATATTCTTGAAGAGTTTATCGTCTAATTCGTCTTGATAATTTTGATTATTTAAATATATTTTCATATTTATACTTCACTAGTTTTTCTTCATCTCAATTTTAAGTTTAGCTATATAATATTCTTGAAGGGTTTATCACCTAATTCGTCTTGATAATTTTGATTATTTAGATATATTTTTATATTTATATTTCACTAGTTTTTCTTCATCTCAATTTTAATTTTGTTTTGTCGAATAGCATAACTTAGTTATAGTGAGATTGATTGAAGCAACATATTTGATCAATTATTTATTAGTAATTTATTTGTTTTTCATTAACAAATATTGAGCACTTGTTTGATTCTCATTATTTTGAAAATACATTTTCCTCTCCCTTTTTCTTTTTCAATCACATATTTTTTAATAAAATAAGATTACACTAAAATTCAAAACTTTCTCATATTACATACATTCTTTGTCTACCCACTATTTCAAAATGCATTCATAACTAAAAATAAGGCTTAAATATGCTATCAGAATATAATAAGTTACACAAAAACCTTAATGAATTTTTGAGAAATTCTTTTATATTTTTAAAGTGATTTGTTAAGATAGCGAGTTTATAATAATTAAAAGATGTCGAACTTCAATTCGATTTCTCCAGAACAGTTGAAACGACACTATGATAGAATAACAGATTTGAATAAAAATTTATGTCAATTTGATTATGTGAGACTTTGTCCGGAAATTACAAAATAGGAAAAATCATATTTTTGGGTTTGAGCTAAATTAATCGGGCAGCAAATTTATTTACAAAAAAAATTAAATAATTTGACTTATTTAAAATGAATAAATTAAAAAATTATGAAGATTAGGTTATTCGGTTCTTGATTTAGAATTGAGAATTAAGCTGAACTCGTCAGTTCTCGACTCAAATACCTATTTGAATACTTAATTTAAGAAAAATAGCTCGATTGGATTAGTTCGGATCGAGTCGGATTTAATTTGAGAATTTTGTCCAGCGTTATTGAAAAGTATTTTATTGTGAAATTAATTGCCAAAGACTCACCTTCCCAGTCAATGCACTGCGAAATAAATGAATGAAGAAAATAAATAAATTATATATTTATTTGGTTTTGCCGTACTAAATTGTGAGTTGATTTTTATTAGGTTCCTATTCCCCGGTCGTTTCCTGTAACGTGGAATGCGCCGGGCGAATCGGGGAGGTGAATATGTGGGAGAATGAGTCAAACTCGTTTCTCACACACCATCCCTCACTCGTTCGGTCCAACTTACTCCCTTTCATTTTTATTTATTTTTTCATTTCCCATGGATATTAAAACCTATTCAACTTCGGAGTTCAATAAGACTTACATACACACTCAAAGATCTGAGAAACTCATTTTCTATCATCTTTAATTTGGACAGAGAAAAAGTGGGAGACTCTCTATTGAAGACCAAGTTTTTCTTTTTTCTTTTCTTTTTTTGTGCATTTTGATCTCGCATGTAAATATGGACGGTTCCCGTGATCATGATCAAAAGGTGATTATCAACTCTTTTGATGATTATGGAGAGAAAAGGGTTGTCAATGAAATGGATTTCTTTGCTGATAAGAATTGTTCGAAGGAAGCATCAACAACGTTTGAATTCAAGAAAGAGAGTAAATTTGATGGTGTTGAACAAGAACTTCATCTTAACTTGAGCGTATGACAGTTATTAATCTTAATATGTACTATGAAAACATTTTCTCCCCTCGAAAATCAAAGGTTTTATTTTTTGTTTTTATTCGTTGATGTCTTTCATGATTTTATAGACTGGTTTGAATCTTCTGACGACAAACGTTCCGACCAGTGACAAGTCTACTGTGGATTATACTGAATCGCCCAGAATTTCCATTGAAGTAAGTTTTAAGGATACATTTTACATCAAATAACGATCTTCTTAACAAGGTTACTCTTTTAAGATGGATTCTGGTACAGTGTGTAGCTATCAAGTCAGAGCTCGATCGTGTGAGCACGGAGAATGAAAGATTAAGAGCTACACTGAATCAAATAAACAGTAAAAATTATTCTTTACAAATGCAAATTGGAGCACTCTTACAGCATCAACAAAATATAAAAGGTGCAACCACAGTAGATCAAAAGGTTGGTACAAATACACAGTTTAGTCTTATTCAGTATTGAACTAAAAGAGGTAATTTTGATCTTATTTTACTGTGATATTTTGATAGATTATTGATGATAAAGATAAACGTTCACATTCAGTATTAAATGGTATGGAAGAGAAGTCAATGGCTGATGAATTGCAGAAGAATTTTCAGACAAAAATACAGATAGAAAAAAGCCCAGAAAAGAAATTTCAAGAATTGATTCCAAATAAAGTTCCAAAATTTCATTCTTCTTCCAAGGATATGGATCAAGCTGAAGAAGCCACTATTAAAAAGGCCCGTGTCTCGGTTCGAGCACGATCAGAGACACCTATGGTAAGTCTAAACAAGAACACAATAAAAAAAATTAAAATCTTGTCTATTATATATATATAAATATAAATCATCTTTTCGTATTCATTAATGAGCTCTTTTGTCACCCGGTCTTGATTTAGTGAAGAAATATTCTTATTGAGCTTTTTACTCAGATCTCTGATGGATGCCAGTGGAGAAAATATGGGCAAAAAATGGCAAAAGGAAACCCCTGCCCTCGAGCTTATTATCGATGTACCATGGCAGTTGGTTGTCCCGTACGCAAACAAGTAGGGTTAATCGCTCTATTACTGATGCTTTTCTTTCCATGATCAATTGATTTAATTTACATCTTTTGAATCGTATTAATATGGAATCAACTCTTCTAAAAAGCTTTGAACTTTTTATTTAGGGTTCTTTGAACTTTTAACAAAATTTTAGGTTTTTTACTATTTTTAATCTATTAATTATAAGATGTTCATTGAACTTAAACTTTGTTTCGGGTCGGTTTCCTTGTCCGCTTCCGTTAGTTTAACTAGCCCCACTTTGGTAGAGACTATAACCTAAACTTAAATTTAAGTCAAAATCAAAAAATAATTTTAACCATATATTTCACGGGATCCATATCTTTTCAACCATACATTTCATTAACTTTTATCAAAATCTATTGAGAATTTAATTTAATCCCCTCCAAAAATAAGCTTAACAGCAAATGTGAAATGAACTCAACTAAGCTATTAGTTAGTGTTAACTTCACTAAAGAACATAGATGGAAGGACTAATTAAATTATAACAAAGATTGAGTTAAATGACCAGCTTAAAAATCAAAGTTTAAGTTTAATAATCAACTTAAAATATGATAAGATTCCATGATTAATGTCACCAACTTTCGATTTGCATTGAACAGTTTTGTCCCCAATGTTGGAGAAAATTCACCGGATTGCCGTAGAGATCACAAAATATGAATCGAAAATGCCAATAACAAGATAATCTTGAACTTGTATCGATGGATGTCTTTAACACGATATCGTTGTCCTCAAACGATATTTGCCCCTCCTTCTTATGAATTTGAGATGCTTTGAAGGTTGTTGGCAAATGGTTTGCAGGATTATAACAAGTCTTGCAAGAATTTAAACACCAAAACACAAGTGTAAATCCTAGAAAACTTGAAGAACACAAAGAATAAATATGAATATGGCTTTTAAAGACTTTGATCTTTGATATTAGTAATAATATGGAACCTTGATTTTTTTTTTTTTTTATAATGTTTTTTGCCTTCAACATGGATCCAATATATATAGACGTACATCACATTCATAAAATAGTACCCAAATTTAAAGCCAAAAGTCACCAATTTTGAATTTACAACAGGAGAAAACAGCCCTCCAATGGCCACGTTATTGTACCATGCGGTCGCATGGTTTGCCGGTGCCGAGACCATTTGGTCTTGGCATTAGGCCATGCGACAGCATGACTATATGCCATGCGGTCGCATGGACCCTCCTTTTTTCATTTTTTTTGTTGGTTTTGAACAACATTATCATATCAATTCCCCACTTGTTCAAAATTAACAAGTCTCATATTCATAATATACGATACTCATGCATAAGAATTAGATATCTTTCAATTTGAATCTAATTATAGTGTAATTCAAACAAAGTATAGTCGGAATCAAAGGTAGCGAGTAGCTTTGAACCAGTTATTCCATATGACAATACCGGTAAGAACACACACACGAGTACCACGTGTTCTCAAGTTCCTCATAACCCGCTTAGCGCTTTTATGGCCTTGCGCTTATTATTTTCAACAATCTTTTAAAAGAGAAACTCCAACTCTCTATTAAGGTGGCACCACCTTGAAGATTGTTTAGGTGAAGTTCTTCCAGTACTTTTGTAACTTTTAGAGGTACTTGTGTTTTAGTACTGAACTTTATTAAGAACTTAAGCTCAACCCTTACATCAGTAACAACCAGCATTATTTTCATTAAGATAGGGTTATCACACGAGTACCACGTGTTCTCAAGTTCCTCATAACCCGCTTAGCGCTTTTATGGCCTTGCGCTTATTATTTTCAACAATCTTTTAAAAGAGAAACTCCAACTCTCTATTAAGGTGGCACCACCTTGAAGATTGTTTAGGTGAAGTTCTTCCAGTACTTTTGTAACTTTTAGAGGTACTTGTGTTTTAGTACTGAACTTTATTAAGAACTTAAGCTCAACCCTTACATCAGTAACAACCAGCATTATTTTCATTAAGATAGGGTTATCATAGATTTAAATAATGCTGCAACCATCCACATATAGAATGACTTGTTAGTACCCTTTGAACTCGTAGATTACCTTTTGAGTAATGACAGGTAGGGTTACCATCATTGGTGGATCTTTTTAGTTAAAGAGTTTCAACCCCATCTTACTCAAAGTGGATGCCACTAAATCTCTATTTAGTGCTTTAGTTAAAGGATTCGATAAATTTTCAATTGATTTTACATAATTTAAGGAAATTATTTCATCCTTGATTAACTTCCTTATATAGTCATGTCTAAGACTCATGTGTCTAGATTTTCCATTGTATATCTCATTATATGCTTTTGCTAATGTTACTTGACTATCACACATGATAAATATTGAAGAAATATTCTTTGATCCCAAAAGTATCTCATAAAGGAGATCCTTAAGCCACTCAGCCTCTTTCCCTGTATCCGATAGGGTTACAAATCCAGATTCCATGGTCGAGTGTGTTCAACATGTTTGTTTCTTTGATTTTCAAGAAACAGCACCTCCTCCAAGAGTGAACGCCCAACCCGTAGTGGATTTACTCTCACCCGCGCTAGATATCCAACTAGCGTCGGTAAATCCTTCCAATACCGTCGGAAATTTAGTATATTGCATGCCCAGGTTCTTGGTTTTCTTTAAGTATCCAAGAACTCTTCTTATGGCCTTCTAATGATTATTACTTGTATTGCTAGTAAACCTGCTAAGTTTACTTATGGTATAGGCTATGTCGGGTCTTGTGCATTAAACTGCATACATAAGACTTCTGATTGTACTAGCATATTCCAATTGAGCAATCGCCCTTCCATCATTCTTTACAAGTTTTGAGCTTGGGTTAACCGGGGTACTATATTCTTTTATGTTCAAGTGTTTGAACTTGTTTATCACATTCTCAATATAATGTGATTGACTTAGGTGATAACCCCCACTAGTCTTTGTGACTTTGATACCTAAAATGGTATCCACTTG